ACACTGACAGTCCATTGTGTAGCTTTGTGTTTAACAACAACTAAACCAATTCAACAAAGAATATTATCACAGCTTATGTTACAAGAATACACCTAAAATGTATCTTTACAATGCTACTAAGGAACACAACAGTGCCTTCTGTAGGTATTTGTGTTGCTTTGCTTGTTGTCGCTAAGGGTAAAGCGGGTATCGAAACTCGATTTTTAGCGTTATAAGCCCTCAAGATTACCGCTGAGCCACCAGAAATTGCAGATGTAAATTTTCATACTTCCACTTGTGTTTTTATGTAATATTTCTTGGTTTCTTTACCGCTGAGCCACCGGAAATTGCAGATGTAAAATTTTCATACTTCCACTTGTGGTTTTATGTAATATTGTGTTTTTATGTAGTATTTCTTGGTTTCTTTAGTTAGTAATCATTGGTTAGGGTGAGGTGGATTGCATACTGTTAAGAAAAAATAAATGACGGTACGGCAAAAAAATATAACTAAATAAATAATAGAAAAAATGTTATACTGCTACAAAACACCCTATCTTCACTTATTTGATCTTGCAAGAAAATAAGTTTGGCTTTTTAAGCGTCTCTGCAGTTATAGTGTGGGTATTGTTCTGGTAACACCAACGTGCCCCTTCCCTCATACAGGTGTATACGGTACCTTTTCAAGCCTTGTTGTTCCTTTCCCTCAAACACGTGCATACGGCACCTTTTCAAGCCTTGTTGTTGTTAAACATATAGCTACATAATAGGCTATCTATGGTTTGCCCACCACGGGCATCGAAACCCGAATTTTAGCATCGTAAGCCTGAAGACTTACCGCTGAGCCACTGGGAAGTAAGAAAATCAATTAGGTATTCATACGTTATAACTTATGACACAACCATTTTTTTTAAATAACTATGATCCAAATCAACATATAATTTATTTTTTTTAATAGTAAACTCTTTTCCTTTAAACCTTACCGAAAGAGTGCGCTACGGGTAAGGTGTAGTACACTCCAGGATTCCTATTATGGTTGATGTCAGATCGCGAAAGACAGGTTATATATTTAGTTTAGTTATTATTTTATTTGTTTTAATTATCTATTTATCTAAAAGATTTACATAATTATATGTAAAATGTGGTAAACTTAACGTATAAAGTATTACTTCACCAAAACTTATGCATACATGGGATTCCATTTCCCGTACGCCACCTAACATCAACCGTCGCATTTTTTATCCAGAACCTGAAACGTACTTACGTTCACGAGTTTGTACAGTGCACTGATGTGCATAAAGAAACGAGAGCTGCTCAGCGTTTATCGCGCTAGACTGGATGTAAGATTACCGTGGTTCGAACCCCGTTTTCGCTGTTAAAGAAAAAAAAAAAGACCCCCTACAACCGCATTTTAGGACAGTGGATGCGTTATAAGAGTAAAGGAGACGGATAAATGTGCTATTCGGTCTGTTTAGAGTATCCCAAAAATTGGTGGTTTTGACTAACAGCCTTATCTCTAACCTGTTACTTCAAAACTTGGGGCAGGTAGCCCTCTAGTAGCAAATATACAAAGCTTACAGATTCAAAAACAGTGAATAAAGAGGAAATAACTCAGAGTGGTGGTATAAAAACGATAACCTTAGACATGTTTTTTTATCAAAATTCTGCAAGTATGTTATTGACAAAATGGCAGCATTATATTGTGAATTAAAATTACTGTCGGCTTAGAACACTAGGTGTTTGTCCTAATATTTCTACGAAGGCAGAAAAATTCATACAAATATTCATTTAACCATTTTATTACTGATTATTTTCATCAACAAATCCAGTTCATGAAATAAGCCTAAACTTTATATGGATTTTCTTTTTAATTAAAGTACGCATTTATGAAAATGGTTAAAACAAACCCTTAAAGTAATCGCGTCATGATTAAGTCTTTGTGCAAATTAATTTTATAAAGTCTCACTTGTACATTTTTTTTAAATCTATACATTGCCAAAATATACATTTAGCATCGTGTATATGGGTCACCATTAAAAAAAATAAACCATAGCCAATTACGTTTTGACATAACCAGAATCACTTTGATGGAAGTTAACTTTTTTTTTTTACAACAAGATAATTTATATCATTTCCCTAAGCGTTATTAACCGGTGTAATCTTTTAAAAGCTGCAACGAAGATAACACGCATGTATTGTTTCAAACTTTGTCTTTCAAATTCGCTTTTCTCAAATGATTATATTCGCTAAGTCGGTTTATTTAGCATTTTACCCGAATGTTTATTGAAGATATTAATCCACCAGACCACGGATAAACGTTTGAAATCATGGAAATGATGACCAAGGATAGCTGGTGTATCATCTAATTTTGTCCCTAATAATTAATCTTAAACAACTTTCAAATACAAAACATATATCAGACTGGTGATATACAATGTGTGATCGAGTTTTTGATCACACTGGTTCATCAAGGCGTAACATAATCGTTACATTCCGTCCTTGTCTCGGAGTCATTAACTTACAATGTTCTGGACTTAGAATTAAAATATTCGCAAACGTCTCGGAGTCACTAATTCACAATGTTCTGGCTTTAGAACTAAAATATTCGCAAACGTCTCGGAGTCACTAATTCACAATGTTCTGACTTTAGAATTAAAATATTCGCAAACGTCTCGGACTAATTCACAATGTTCTGGCTTTAGAATTAAAATATTCGCAAACGTCTCGGAGTCACTAACCCACAATGTTCTGGCTTTAGAACTAAAATATTCGCAAACGTTTTTCTGATGTAGTTTCTGTTCTCTGACAACGTCCTTAACTTATCTTATATTTCACAAAACCATGAAAAAATTCGGTGTTTTAATAAAGTTTCCTCGTGTGTGTGGCTTTAAAAAAAATCAGTTAATCTTTAATTTAAAATGTCAGTTTGTTCAAATGTCACTATATAGCCTCAAGACCATTATCGCATCCCAAGGACCCCACAGTTAATGAAGAAATGTAGACTGAAAAGATCGAAATATATCATTTTTTCATCATTTATTTACAAGTTTGATCACACAACTCAAAACTGATTATTTGAGCCAAAAATAAAAACTATACCGATATATAGTTTCCTTGTTGTCAGTTTGAAATAAATAAAGAAATGGATATAGTTTAGAAATTATACTCTTCACCCCCTTGTTTTAAATGTATTCGAAATTTGTTGGCATAAAATTTTAATTTCAACTCTCAACTAAATTAAGTATTTTGAGGTGATTTTGTTTGTTTTAGACCAAAGCCATATTAGGCTATCTGTTGTGCCCACCGCCGGGAATCGAATTTTAGCGTTGTAAGTCCGCAAACTTACCGCTCTCACCACCGGGGGATATTTTGAGGTAAGACAGAATCCCCAATGAAAATTAATTTGGTAAATTTTATTTACACGCGCAAGGTTAATATTATTTCACGGCTTAACAATTTAGGGGCCCGGCATGGCCAGGTGGTTAGGGCGCTCGACTCGCAATCTAAGGGTCGCGGGTTCGAATCCTCGTCCCACCAAACATGCTCCCCTTTCAGCCGTCGGGGGCGTTATAATGTGACGGTCAATCCCACTATTCGTTGGTAAAAGAGTAGCCCAAGAGTTGGCGGTGGGTGGTGATGACTAGCTGCCTTCCCTCTAGTCTTACACTGCTAAATTAGGGGCGGCTAGCGCAGATAGCCCTCGTGTAGCTTTGCGCGAAATGAAAAACAAACAAACAAACAATTTAGGGTTTTTACTCAAAACGAATATAATTTCCTTCCGTGTCACTCCAAGATGCGTAAGTTATTACTGCCAACGTCAAGTTCTACAGTACTTAAAATAGAGTCATTATATGTTTTTCAAACAGTTCTGAAATAAAACTGATACACGTGATTAGCCAGGTAAAAGGAACTTCAACCTAACATAAGCCTTTTTTTTATTATTATTACCGCTGTGGCGTTTACATTACTCACCCATGAATTCAAAATATTTGCGTACTTTTTTAACAGTCTGTTCGTGAGAAAATGCACTTACGATAATGTTATCTTGGTGGGGTCGGACCCCAAAACTTCCAGCTGAGCAGATGCTTACGCAGTTGAAGACATATCCCCCACACGAGTACAAACTTCCATCAATTTCTGGTATAAAAAATTACTAAGTGACCCAATCAACTGTTTGCTAAGCACAAGAAACTGCGACAAACACCTTTGACCAATTGTCAGGATAACATTGCACACCGAGTGAAAGACGTTAAGATCAGGATGAAAAAGTTTTTAGACGTATAAGGAATTTGTGGTCAGTAATATGATGCTTCAGGCCCGGCATGGCCAGGTGGTTAGGGCGCTCGACTCGTAATCTGAGGGTCGCGGGTTCGAATCCCCGTCACACCAAACATGCCTGGTCCGCCTTTGCCTGGTCCCAAGTCCAGGATGAGAAAGGGGGAGGGTTGGGCGCGGGGCTAGCAACTCCACCCCGTAAAAACCAACCTGCAACAACACCTTCCAGGAGTATCTGCAACAACACCTTCCGTTGGCGAGGTGTTGTTGCGGCCCTATGCTCCACTGGGAGTTTACAGGAGTAATAAAAAAAAAAATATGATGCTTCACTAGTAATAACACTGGCGATTTGTCATGATCAAAGGTTAGAGGTCAAGGTGTGACCAAGGATGCTCTACTCAATTGTTTCATAGATCTGTGTGGAAACGTCGACATTCTAAAGGCAGTCATTTGGTTGAACCATTCCCAAACAGACCAGCAAATTCGATCAAATCTCTCATTGCTCAGTATCGTATATAAGACGATTGGTAAACCTCCTACCATGGAGGCCTTAATGAATATTTCGTTTATTTATCAGTACAGTTCTTCTAATATACGACCCATAATAGCTAATAAACCCCCCACCCACCCCCACATATATTTTGGTATTAAATATATAATTGTTATTTCTTCCTTATTTTAGTATAAATATCAATTTCTTGAACTACAAACAACATATATATATATATATATACTGTTTTATTCGGATATATTCTAATCTACACTTACTTTCTTATCTAACATCTTATGGTCATGGATACTGCTCTGAAAAGAAAAAGGTGACCACCTTGGCAGAAGTACAATGTTTGTAGAGCAATATCTCTTTGAGCGAAAGTCGCTCCAAAATGTTTCTTAATGCATTCATCATATCATATATTCTGATCTACGATCGACATAAGTGTCACAAGACTCAACTAAAATAGCACAATAAATCAGTTTTCAAAAGTTGGCCATATACATGTAAAAAAAGATGCCTTTTCTAGCCAACCAGCTGTTAAAGAATTAAACCTTCATAGCTTATCGTTCTAACCAATTCATGGAAAAATTATATTCGCTCACACAATTCTCTTAGTGATAAAACTCTTGATTTTGTATAAGGTAAAACATATAAGCATAAAATGATAACCTTAGTGATTAGATCTTTAATAGGGGGGCTAATTCCGCTAACCAAAACAAATTGCGATAATTTTACCATTTTCAACTTGTTGGTTCGATCGTTCGTGCCTGGTGGTGCAACGTTTGTTTGCAGTAGTGTATATGTAAGTATAAATAAATAAATAAATACATTTTTAATTTCAAAGTTATGTCCTTTCTGTATAATTCTTATACACACACCAATAAACATCAAAGAAGGTGAACTTTGATTTTGGCAACCACACTTTTCACAATAAGGACATCTTTAGTTTGTGAAAAATAGATTACTATCTTGTAAACACGTTATATCAATACGCTAGTAATGTCAAAGAAAACCTCTTGAGTATAGAGCTTCGATACTTTCGTCTCTCCTCAACCGTGACTTCGAAACTACCAAATAAATATATATATATCTCTTTTACGTCGATTTCTTAAGTGACGAACCACATAGAATTTTCCAGAAAAAAAATACTGTTGTTACAAAACACCCTTCCTCAACAAGCTTAGAGGAAAACCGAAGTTTATCTTTGGATTGATTGTTCTATGTCAAAACTTTTCAGAAGTGTCATTTCATACCTTAGAACTTTGGATAAAATAAGTTATTTTTTTTTTGTGTGTGTGGTTAAGCACAAAGCTACATAATTGGCTGTCTGTGTTCTGCCTACTACGTGCATCGAAACCCGGCTTCTAAATGTCATTCACTTTCAATACTTGTGCCTTTTTTCTTTCTTTTTCATCCTCATTAAATTTGGTTAACACGGAATAACTCTTCTTCCATCACTATACCTCATGGCCCACAAACCGCAAAATGTTTATGAATGACATTGAAATGCGATGACTGAATGACTTTATGTCATTTATGTTGTTTTAAAGAAGAGTGTCTATTTTTCCCTCGAGGATGAATCGGAATTATTTATCAGTAACGACGACAGTTCGAAGTCATTAGTAAACTTTTACCTCAGAAGTAGCTTCTTACTTCTGGTGAACTTTTATCATGGTCTCTTTTGGTGCACCGTTATTGTTTTCCCTATATCAAGGCCATTTCTGGTGTTTCTTCTTTCCGAAAAGACTAGAGGGCGCTCTTAGACGACTCTGTTTATTCCCTCTTTTAATTATTAGAAGACCCTGTTTATTTCCTCTTTTAAACCTTCGTAAACTGAAAGGTCCTACGTGTCCCTGTGGGTTTATACCGCGATATCGCTTTCTATAGTCGTCGTTCTCCCCCCCATCGTCAACAATTGCCCCGCCCAACTCAGAGGATATGCCATGAAATCCCAGTCCTTCCACTGGCCCAGTCATCACCTGACACCTAGAATATACGAAAATAAAAATAAAATTCTAGCACATTCTGCACTGAATCAAAATACCAAACAAATAATCACGATTAAAAAAATAGCTTTGTGTACTGCAGAGGGCGTATTATATCATTTTATAATTATCATCAATGTACTTCGAAAATTACAAATCCAAACTGCTGTCGTTTTAAAATTAGAATAGCAGTTTACAATTAGATTCTGACTGAAGTAGCGTCAGTTTCAGTTACGTCAGTCGTAACACGTGTTTTATAAGTGATAAGCCTTATTTTTTTTTTTAACTTACAAAATATAGAACTTTACCTGCAGGTTATAGTGTTAAAAAAGAATCCGGTCGAACAGCGTGCGTAAGTTGGGCACTTACAACGACACTCTTCGTTGTTCCAAACTCTTCCCTCTCCTTGGCAGTTCTTCCTGACCTCTTCGTTCTTGCAGACACAGCGACATTCTTCTGGTCGATACTCCTGGGACACTGTGCAGTCTTCAGCTTTAGTTTTACAAGCGCACGTGCATTTCTCATGCTTTTCCAGTTGAAACGTTTGATAGCCATTGAATTCGAAACGATCAGCACCGGGTTTTGGATAGCGAGCCTTAATCACCTGCAAAAGTCGGGTGCGATAATTTAAAATTACAAACCTCGTGAATTTTTTGATTGATAATCAATGATAAAAAAACTGTTATTTAGATTATTTCAGCTCTTCGAGTTAGGACAACAGAAAATCCATAATTTCACATCGAAAAAAAAAAGCGATATATTAAAACAGCAACATCACTGCCCCACGGTCGTTCAGAGGTACGCTCGAGGGCTTATAAGGCTATAATTCAGAGTTCGATCCCCGAGTCCTACACACACACACAAAACAGACAGCCCAATATGCATCTGTGTGTTAACAAAAAAAACAAAGTAATACCATCGCCGTTTCAAGTTAAGCTTTAAATAAAACGTGACAATGTTTAAAAATGAATCATGAAACATACACCTCCCAGAAATACCTCTGTTATTATGATGTTCTTTTAGGAAGCTTTAACTTTACGGAGTTAATATTGACATAACTACTTTTAAATAACACTTCCGGTGAATCTATTCTTTAATTAAGCAGCTTTAAGAGTTATGTCTGTAGTGTTAGCACTGACTTAACAGCTTCTAAAGCACAATTCTAGGGATCTTATTCTTTAAATGAGCAGCTTTATAGTTATGCGTGTAGTGTTAGCACTGATTTGACAGCTTCTAAAGCACAATTCTATGGGTCTTATTCTTTAAATGAGCAGCTTTATAGTTATGTGTGTGGTGTTAGCACTGATTTGACAGTGCTTTTTAAAGCACATTTCTATGGGTCTTATTCTTTAAATGAGCAGCTTTATAGTCATGTGTGTGGTGTTAGCACTGATTTGACAGTGCTTTTTAAAGCACATTTTGAAACTGTTATCTAAGCAGTTGACATTTAAGGTTTGTGGAGTTAAGACTAGCTTGAACGATTTTTTAAAGCAAAGCCATATTTAACCTGTTTTTGTTTAACAAAAACAGCTCGACAGTTGTTTTTTGTTTTTCATTCGTAGCGCAAAGCTACACGATGGGCTATCCACGCTCTGCCCTGGATTTTAGTATTAAACGTTCGGAAACTTACCTTTGACCCATCGGGGGGTCTGTTCAATGGTTACGTTTTGTGGAGTTAATACTGACTTCATAGCTTTGTTTAACTTGTTTTTTAACACAAGAAGCTTACAGTTACATTTTGTGGAATTAATACCGGCTTGAACACTTTTGAAACACACTTGTGGCGAATATATTCTTTACAATAAGACGTTTAGCTAACAAGAATAATTGTAAGAAAAAAACACGTTTTAAAATGTCTTTAAAAAAACTATATATTCTGGTTCACGATGATATACTAGGTAGAAACCTATATATTCTGGTTCACGATGATATACTAGGTAGAAAACTATATATTCTGGTTCAGGTCTGGTTCATGATGTTATACTAGGTAGAAACCTATATACGATGATATACTAGGTAGAAACGAGACCCAAAACTCGAGCGCTTTCAAATAATTTTGGGTCTCGTTTTGAAAATGAATAAAAACCCTATAACCCCAGCGCTTTCGAAAGGTGGACCTTTCTTTTCCAGGGGCAAACTGGGAATCAATGTAGAAAAACAAAAGTACAACGTTATTAGATATATATATATATATATGTATATCAATGTAGAAAAAACAGACACCTTATACTCTGGTTCAGGATGATATACTAGGTAGAAAACTATATATTCTGGTTCATGATGATATACTAAGTAGAAACCTATATATTCTAGTTCATTTGAAAATATTACAACTTTTGTAGGTGATCCTGTGTACTAACTACTTAACCTGGACTAATAAAAGCAACTTTGTGGTAGCTGCTATGACGTTGAACCGAATATATCAATACAATTAAGATGAGAATTCGTAATATAACTAAATATATTATAAATATAATATAATTTTTGGTTGTACGAAACCTCAACTCGATTTGGAATAAAGCTTTTGTTGTTGTTAAGCGCAAAATTACACGAAGGGCTATCCGTGCTCTGCCCACCACGGGTATCGAAACCCGGTTTTTAACAGCATAAGTCCGCAGACATACCGCTATGCCACTGGAGGTGGGTGGGGGTGGAATAAAGATTGAACGATTTTACTGATTTTAATTATTTTTAGTAATTTTTATAAATTTGATCATTTTCTTTTATAAAACTCGGTCACAATCAGATCAAAAGTGCTATGTTGACATAAAATCGAAATACGTTAATTATTTCTCATGATAAAAAAAAGTTATTTTATTATTTAAAGAGTAAAATTGTGTTTTTGATGAACCTGATAGTCGTTAGAACAAAGAATTTTAAGAATATAAAAAAAACAAAAAAATATTTATAATCTCTTCAGAGTCTCACGGTTTCTAAGTTAAGATCCCAAACAACTGGTATTAGTGTAGATGATAACTGTTTTATGAAGCAAAATATATATATTGAAAGGTTAAGTGACCTCTGTTATGCAGCAACACGGAGAAACGGCTTTTTTTTTTTTGCTGATATGTTAAGCCAAGTTATTACGACAAGGCATCTGGTGCTGTAACATAAGACAAGTTGTCCGTTCCCACAATGCCCTTTAGTAAAGATGCAGGAAACGGTCTGGGAGAGTGTGAGCGTGTGTGTGTGGAGGGGGGGGGGGGTATATCATTTAGCTGTGCAAAACGTTTTGCGGTTTGTCAGTTAAATTTGGGACTCTTAGGGACATTACAATAAATAAATAAGCTGCTGTTTAATTTCAGTCTTGGATTTGTTAATTTAATATAATTACAGCAGGATTGTTTTTCTGTGACTTATGATCTGTAAACATCCGTCTCCTGCGCATTTTTGTTTCATCTTAAAAAGCACACTAAGGATGAAACGTAACGTCTTTCGGATGTGTAAACCTGATGGAGTAATACAGCAGTTTAAACACTACGCATAATAATATGCCCAAGACGTTGATCGAGTTGAACGTGTTTCTACGGGCCGAAAAGTGTGTTATTAACTGTTTTTTTATTTCCAAAGATTCGTGGGATGTTTACAACACGTTTTTACAGATAGATATTCATTTATTGAACATTGTTTACGGATGTAGCAAGTGCTTTACATAAATGGTAAGTGCAGTCTGTAAAATTTTAATATTATTATTTCAGTGTGCAAAGTATTAGCATCAACTTTGTTAAGTACAAACCTGAGAAGAAACAACTAATAGCAAACACTGTTATCGTGTATGACTTACTATAATGTTTATAAAAATAATTACTTGTAGTGCGTTCAGGTTGTCTTTCACATTATAGTTTTGACTGTTTGTGTGTTTTAGAGCAAAGCCATATTGAGCTATTTGCTGTGTCTACCGTGGGGAATCGAACTCCTAATTTTAGCATTGTAAGTCCGTAAACTTACCGCTGACCTATTAGTTGGAATGTACGTACACACACCCATATATTTCAAAAAGATGTGGATTTTGGTTGGTTTAAATTGTGAAACTGGAAAAAGATGTGGATTTTGATTGGTTTAAGTTGTGAAACTGGAAAAAGATGTGGATTTTGGTTGGTTTAAATTGTGAAACTGGAAAAAGATGTGGATATTGGTTGGTTTAAATTGTGAAACTGGAAAAAGATGTGGATATTGGTTGGTTTAAATTATGAAACTGGAAAAAGATGTGGATTTTGGTTGGTTTAAATTGTGAAACTGGAGCACTAAATTCGTATATTTCTTCTTTTCGTGAGATCCATCCATATGCTGAAAGAGTTTTATTTTTTTCAGAACATCTCAGTATTTCAAACTTTCGATTTTCACCACACATGCGCTTATTTAAACGTTACACGAGCACTGTGTCGTTTAGACAAACTTGTGTTTTTAACGATGTGGTTACAATTGTAACAGACACTTTGCATGGAACTACGTTATTTATTCCTCTCATCCTCACTATCTAGGCCCGGTCTTCGCTTTGATAGGAAATAAAAATAGCTTGAGGTTATGTATGTTACATCAATAGATCGACGTTAATTACGTTAATTACCTGTGTTAATAATGTGTGTAGAGAAAAAGAAACTTAGAAATCTTAGTTACTAAACATACCTATCTCATTTACAAATTTTGCTGGAAGCTCCGAAAATAGATCCTTTTTCAAAACTGGAACTTATGTGAGTATTAAAGGGTTAAAGGTTATTACACACGTGACGTTATGTACTAAAGATAGGTAAAGGTCATCACGATCTCTTTGTTATTTGATAGCTCAGAAATATTCGAAATTTAAACAGTTTAAACGACTGCAAACAATGTGTACAAAACGGTGTTGCAAAACGAAAATCATTAGAAGGGGAACACTAAGCACCAGCTATGAAATACATATAACACTTTAAAGTCTAATTCTTAACCTACTTCTATATTAACGCTGGAATAACTGTTATAGTGAGGGTACTGAATACCACTTCAAAACTGTAACTTCTGTAAGTGATGTAAACCCTGTATTCAACTAGTGTTAAGTTTAATATAACGAAGCGGGTATCAATACGTGTTTATGTATTTTAACGAACTGCTTTAACCATAATCATTGATATAATGTTTACAAGAGACTCACCTAGAACGTTGAAAGCAAACAAACCGGGGCTAAAGGAAGCTACTCGACATCACGTTTTTTTTTAACTTCAATACTAGAAGCCTCCCAGTTGCACAGCGGTATTTCTGTGGACTTACAACGCTAGAAACCGGCCAAATTTTCTCACTATAAACGATTAGTAAATATTATGCTTTTATTTGTTTGAATTTAAGCACAAAGCTACACAATGGGCTATCTGTGCTCTGCCCACCACGAGTATTGAAACCCGGTTTCTAACGTTGTAAGTCCGCGGACATACCGCTGTGCCACTGTGGAGCCCATGTGATGAAAGTCTTCAAGTTGAACGTTAGCTCTTTCGAAATGAAATAATAATAATAATAAAGAATAAAATAAAATAAACTCAGAAACTGCTCAAAAAATTTGAACAAGAATCTTCTTAGCCCAAAAAATGATTATTTTTGTATTTACAAATAAAACTTCTATTAGAAGTCGTTAGGCTCGAACCCTTGTGGTTTTATAGAACTTACAGTTATGTTATCAGAAATCATGATGCGGGTTGTACAACGTTAAACAACAACAACAATAAAACACGCACACACACACACATATATATACATATACACACACACACACACGTAGGTTATGCTCTAAAGGTTCACTAGCATAGTATACGTATATACCGACCTTTGAACTCCTTCTGCGCGTAGAGTCTCCTTGTGTGACACTATACTACGTTTCACCTAATTGAAGTTTTTTTAAGCAATTCTTATCGTATTATCTGGGCAATTTATTTTGCAAAACATTAAACGAGGCTGCAGCGTGATGAACGTGCAGTAACAGATGTTTGCATGGTCTATGATTTTGGTTTTTCTAGATATCAACTCTTAGATATGCTTAGCATATTTAAAGAAGGTATTTTATAATCCGTGTGTTTTTTATTGCAAGTGGACGCTTCGAAAAAAGGATATCTTTAAGTAAGTTTTAAAATAATGAGTACTTTATATCTTACCATTTCTTCCTCCCTCGCTCTTCACTTCCCTTAGTATAAAAATATATATATGAATTATATAATTCTCATGTAACTTAATATTTGCTAAGTATTTTGGATTAGAGTTACTTATATAACATATTAGCATGTGTAGACTAGCAAATAGTATTTTTACTTATGGTTTTTATTGGTTACAAGAGAACAAAATAATTACGAGAGATCAAGTGCCTACGTAAAGATGTTTTGCCGTTTTTACTGTACTTAGCAGAGTGTTTTCAGTGTTCACAAATATTACTACAAACGTCCTTACAATGCTGTTCTTTGAAAGGTTTCATATGCAACAACTAAATTGGTATAGAAGAAACCCTCCTTTTGAGTCTGGAGATAGATTGGTATTAGATTCATTGTTTGTTTTATGTTAAGGTGTTCTCTAGAATCCGAAGCAAAGAAAGATACTGGACAAAATGATAAAAACAATGAAAACAATATTTATTTAATATTTAAACTAAATAAAAATTGCCACAAAAGACAGCACCTTTTATTAGATAATTAACTCTCTGAATTTTTAAAAAGAACTTGATAAGAGGCTTGTGAAGAATTAGATAACTTTACTTGTTAATTTTTAGGAGAGTTTTACTTGTTATAGAAAGAACTGAAACTTTGCTTACCACACTAAGGGCTTGAGAGAGAGAGAGAGAGAGAGAGAGATAAAGCTAAATGAGAGAGCGTAGCATTATACAAAATTATATAATGTCATCTATCAAAACAGTTGATCACTCTCATCGAAAAGTAAGGAATGGTGTAATCACTAGTGCATGTTCAACCATACAGAAATCCTTCCCACGAGAAGACACACGTGATACTATAGGTAAATGACCCACAAAAATAGGCAACTAGTAAAAGAAACTTAGCTACTTTCTTGACCAACATTTTGTGTTAAACTACATACATAGGATAAAGATGAAAGAAAAAAATAATAAAAAATAAAGAAAGAAATAGGCCAACTTCCTGTAACAATTCTTATCAAAATTACATAGTTAATATTAAAAAGAGTGTATTGAAGAAGTACTGTTTTAAATTTTCATAATTTCTCCAAACTTCATGTAACCTCTTCTCACTGCCGATTTTAATTGAACCGAAATACATGCATAATCCTCTTTCGTATCTCTATTGTTTCTCGTAAAATATTCAATCAGACACATCTAGACAGATATTAACATGGGGAAACTACAATAATCATAAAAATACAGATTTAATTATTAGAGTGATGTTACTTTTATGTAATGTATTACACATTAAACTTCCAGTTTGTAGTGAATGAAAGACATATGTATGCAGTTTTTTGCCATAATAAGTAATCATACCTAATGTATACACGGACACCAAATACGTAATTAACAAACATGACGAAATCGCCTATTCTATTGCAAAGACAATGTGGCACAGTATGCTAGAAAGATCCATTAATTAAGAAATTTATCAAGAAGTGGCAACATTAGCTTCAAGATCCACGGAACGCGTTACACAAGAAAGGGGCTGACAGAACTCGAAATCGTGAAGAAGACATCTATCACGACAGAAAAGCTTTTGAGTCTAACCATGGGGATTATGTGCATTGCACAAATATGAAATTGTAGTTGCCCAAGTCGATAGAACACAACATGTTACACTGACTTCTGTGTTTGTACACAAACAAAATTCAGATAATTCACGCCCTACAATCAAATGATCGACCCATACGTAAGAATTTCGACATTGACACATCGATTCTGACAACAACTTTTATTTTTGGTTTTGTTTGTTTTGGGATGGAGCAACATTTCACATCCATAGAAAGGTCAACAGACATGGCTGCAGGATATGGGGCTCTAAAAATCCTATTTTGCTTGAACATGAGTGAGAAAGTCCTAAAAAAGAACGTGCGGGTCGGTCTTCTTGACGATAAAGTGATAGGCCTCTTGTTCTTTGCGAGAACACCATAATAGGATACCACAACATACATCACTCTATTGGGGTTGTGTGAAGGACATCGTCTACGGGACAAAGGTGATTGACCTGGGGACACTAAGTGGATAGAACACCGATGCAATAGCTACTGTGATGATCGATATGCTAGTCAACATATGGATGGAAATCGAATATCAACTCGATATTTTGATGGCCACAAACGGAGCACATGTAGAATTATACTGATGAAAAATGATGTGTGACGAAAAACTGCATACATATGCCCTTCATCCACTAAAAAAACACATGTTCGTTATACTGATGAAAAATGATGTGTGACGAAAAACTGCATACATATGCCCTTCATCCACTAAAAAACACATGTTCGTAAATTTTACTGTCTTGTCGTGGTTTAAGTCTATAATACGTCACATAATTTTTGGACCGTGTATATTGTTATGAAACGAGATTTTTTTTGTTAAAGAAATGCTTAGTACTAAGAAATGTTATTGATATTTTTAAAATGACTTTTAAACTGCGGGGTATTTATATTTGTTGAATAATAAAAGTATTTGTTGTTATTCTTAGAACATGGTGAAGACATCCACACCAATCCACATAAAGAGAGTACCCCATAAGTCTCGATGGAACATTCAGGTACTCGTCTCATATGTTCTAGCAATATTTGCTTGTGTCTTGACCAATGGTGGTGTATTCGTGGCCTTTTACCGATGGGATTACCTTTGGTTATTTGTATCACTCGTAGGAATAGTCCTTATTCTAGTGGGCGCCATCTTGAACTTTGCAGGTTCTAGAATTACCAGTAATAAAAATCAAAGACCGAGATCAGTGAATGTGCAGCAACAGGCTGTAACTGGAGATCCTTTCCCGCCTAATACGTCACTAAGCAACCGCAACTCTTGTCGTCAAGCGGACAGAAACTCAAATGTTCCTATCTACGAAACTCTTTCAAGTAACGCTAAAAGAAGTTCACGTATGTTATCGTCAGCGCCACTCTTGAATGTAAACGGCCAAAACTACCTTCTCTTATCTATCCCCAGCAATATGTCTGAAGCAGAAACACGGAGGTTATCAAATAGGCTTAGCACGGTTGTGCAAGTAGACTTCTCAGATATACTGAAGTAAGATAAACATTTTATTTATTTTTTATTAATAAATTTATGTGGCCATATAATGGTTATCACTTGTGGCTTAAGTAGTGCTTCTACTGCTCTCGAAATCAGTAATATGGGTGCCGAATGCAGCCTTACAATCAAAATGCCCTCATTCAATCAGTATTATATCATTGATTATATCAACATGTTTATACGTTAAATCTAGATTTATTAAATTCCAGGTTAAGTTATAAGATTGCATTCCACGCCTAGTACAAAAATAAGTCAGTGAGAAAAACATTATTTCAGTAGTATTTATCATTTTTACGTTGATGTTTAAATTTATTAAATAATGATTAGTGTTTGTTTGTTTTTGAATTTCGCTCAAAGCTACACGAGGGCTATCTGCGCTAGTTGTCCCTAATTTAGCAATGTAAGACTAGAGGGAAGGCAGCTAGTCATCACCACCCATCACGAACTCTTGGGCTACTCTTTTACCAACGAATAGTGGTATTGACCGTTACAATATAATGTCCCTACGGATGAAAGGGCGAGCATGTTTGGTGGGACAGTAATGATAAGTGAAAAAATAGCAATACTACTTGCATCATTTTAGAGTTACATGGTTTAAATAAATAACTTTGCTCAAAATTATAGATAACTAATTAATATTAGCAATATTCTAATAATAAGTTCCACTAATGAATTTAAAGTAGAAAATTTGAAAAGTGGCCCGGCATGGCCAGGTGGTTAAGGTGCTCGACTCGCAATCTGAGGGTCGCGGGTTCGAATCCCCGTCAGACCAAACAT